ACTTAGGTGAACACGCCAACACACTCAGGTGAACACACTCAGGTGAACACGCAAACACACTCAGGTGAACACGCAAACACACTCAGGTGAACACGCCAACACACTCAGGTGATCACACTCAGGGGACCACACTCAGGGGAACACGCAAACACACTCAGGTGAACATGCAAACACAGTCAGGTGAACAACATGAAAAACACACACACACAACGTGAAAAATATTAAAAATTTTAATTATTCCAAACTTTTGACTGGTTGTGTGTATTTTTCGTATTTTTCTTGTGACTTTGGGGTCAAATATGACTTGGAGATCTTCATGACCTATTTTAATCACCTTTCAGCTTTTTGCACTGTAATGCTCCTCTTGTGTGACAAATTAGTTGTTAAAGCCACAAAATCCCATGTGCACTCATTTAATTCCATGTCTCTCAGTTATAAGAGTAATTTCCCTGAAGTGAATACATGCTGCTGGAATCAGATGTGTGATTTTTGTCTCTTTCATCAAGAATCCTGGCTGTTCACTCATCGAGTGCAGAAGAGAAACAGCGCCACCTTCTGGACGCGTTCAGCCTGATGAAGAGTGCTGTCTCTCTTCAGGAGCAAGTTCTCACTGATGTCCTCAATGTTCTTCCACCTCATGAGGTACGAGATGTTTTTAATGATCACTTCTGTACAGATTTTTTTTAGATTGTCTGTGCTAATTTTGGACAAAAATCTGCAGAATTTATACCAGCGGGAAATAAATGACACACTTCACCTTGACTGTAGCTCAACAGTGTTTAGTTTACACTAGTAATAAATAACTACACGCACACACACACAGTAAAACAATATTATTGTGAAATATTATTCACATTGAAATCTATCTATCTATGCACACACACATTTATACACACAGTAAAACAGTAAATATTGTGAAGTATTATTAAAGTATAAAATAATGATAAAACAATTTAAAATAATTATATAATAATAAATCATTTCTATTCTGTTTTCCATTTTAACATTTTAGAGACACTAATTTTATATTAAAGTAAATTTAAAGTAAAACAGTAATACTGTGTAATATTATTATAATTTAAAACCAATCTAAAATAATTGTCTAAATACAAATTGTTCTAAAAATAGGCATAATTTTGTCATATAAAATATCTCTGTTCTATTATATATTTATTTTATTTTAAAAATATTAATATTTGAAATAATATTAAAACAATTTAAAATAATTGTCTAAATACAAAAAATATTCTATACATGTTTTAAATATTTTTTATTCCGTTTTTTTTTTCATTCTGTTTCTATGTTGTTTTCTATTTTAATATATTTTGGAGACTTTGCGTATTCATTTGAATGTCTCAATTATCTCTCAGAAGCGTGTGACATGAATTTCCTCCACACTTTCGATAATCTCGTTTGTTTGTCGTTTGCCGTTCCTTCGCATGCGCTAATGTGAACTCTAAAGGACAAAACACACACGGTTTGTTTCCAGAGGAACAAACGCGATTAGCAGATGGGAAATGTGATTTGGTGTGGCGTTCGTTAAGCTTGCTGTGACGCGACCCGGTGGTTTTCTGGGCCCTGTCAGGTTCAGCGTGCCAAACAGCACACGGCTCCTCTAAACGACGTGCTAATTCATTTTGCCTCATGCTGCATTATGGATTTTCATTTTCCCAAACGGATTATCTTATTACAAAGCTCTCTGGGTGCTCATATTTATGAAAAGAGGGCAATGAACACGTTGACCAAATGTGGAAATCTGAATTGCTAAAGTAATTAGACTCTTGTGCTGTTTGCACTTCTTCCATTTGAAGAATTAGTTCATGCTAAAATAGTCTGTCGTCATTTATTCACCTTCCAAACCTGTCAAACAGAAGCTATTTTGAAGAATCTCCAAGCTGCTCTTTTTCCATACAGTGAAAGCAAACCGTGATCAGAGATGTTCAAGCTCCAAAAACAACAATGAAAAAAGCTCCATAAATATGGATTTCTTCTGGTTTTTGTGTTCCACAGAAGAAAGTCATGACCAATATGGTGAAATTAATTAAATAAATAAATAAATACATATTTTTTTTAAATATACACAAAAATGGCCCAAAAAAAATGTTTGCTAAAATGTTTCAAAATATGTGTGTAAATATATTTTTTGCCAGTATATTTTGGGCTAGTTTTGTATATTTTTTTAAATATATAAAAAATATAAATATAATATATAATGAATATAAATATATATAATATTTGTATATATTTGTATACACATACACACACACACACACACACACAATAATAATCAACCTGCAATAATTAAATGTTAAACAACACAAATATCCTTTATGTATTTAATCCCATTCTATTAACCAATGTCTTTGCTTCTGACCTTCGATGATTCAGTTCAACCATACGAGAGTAACGCAATATTGTAATGCATTACTTTTAAAAGTAACTTTCCCCAACACTGTATGTATATATATATATATATACACACTGAACAAAATTATAAACGCATTTAGTAACGGAGGCTTGGGCTCAGCTGTTAAACTGTCGCACTTTTATTTAAATCTGTGGCAGAAGGATTCAAAAGAGGGCTTTTAAAGACATTCCGTTGTTGTTGTTTATGTATTTACACACTTGTGCCGTCGAACTGTTGTATAAACTCAATATCACACTCGTAGATGTGAGATATGGCTGTATATCGGCACGGCTGTGACTCGGCCGTAGGTAATCACAGTGTGCTATACAGCCATACCTCATGTCTACGAGTGTGATATTGTGTTTATACAACAGTTTGACGGCACAAGTGTGTAAATACATAAGAAACAACAACGGAGTGTCTTTGAAAACCCTCTTTTATGCAGAACTACTTCCTTCTGCCATAGATTTAAATCTAAAGTTGACAGTTTAACAAGTTCGTTTGCCCATATAATCTTAAGGAAATTGTGTGTATTATGATTTCAAGAGGTCTTAAATTTGGGGACGGAAAGACCAGAATTGCGATATGGCTCAATGTGACGATTAAACTTCAAAAGGCTATGATTTCATTAAATAAATATGAGCGCTGCAAAACACGCAGAGCTGTAAATGTGAACCGGTGGATCGATAAGAAGATAATGCATTATAAAAAGCTAAACAATTAAGAGAGTAAAATATATGTTATATGAGCAATATCACACTCGTAGATGTGAGATATGGCTGTATATCGGCACGGCTGTGATTCGGCCGTAGGTAATCACAGCCGTGCCGATATACAGCCATATCTCATGTCTACGAGTGTGATATTGAGTTTATACAACAGTTCGACGGCACAAGTGTGACGTTACTAGTCACTTTAGAACTAGTAACGAAGGAACGTTGAGTTGCTTCATTGAAAGCTAATTGTATTACTGTATTAAAAGCTTGCTGTATTATGTAGAGTATTATGAGAGAGAGATGGACTGAGTGAGTGTGATTACCTGCATCTGCTACAGCATTCATTCTTCAGATCAATCTCATATTCACAATAAACATTAGTTTCAATATCTGCTGAGGAAAGCATTATCTTTGTCGTAACGTTAATATCCTTTCTGATATCATAAAAACAAACAAGCAAGCCCTGTCCAGATTTAAAAAGTAACAAAAAAGTAACGTAATGCATTACTTTCCATAAAAAGTAAATGTCGTAATTAGCAGCATTCATTCTTCAGATCAATCTCATATTCACAATAAACATTAGTTTCAATATCTGCTGAGGAAAGCATTATCTTTGTCGTAACGTTAATATCCTTTCTGATATCAGTGATTTTGCTGCTCAGTGCATTTGTTCGCTGCGTCAAGCTGTTGTTGAAACAAAATACTTCAGTTTATAGCGTTTTTCGGTATAAAAGTCTTTACTGCTGACTCACTCATAAAAACGTCTCTTGTCACCATCTAACATCTGAGAGTGAACGAACGAACGAACGCATACACCCACGTGCGAGCGAGCGATTGTGAAGCATTGCAAACAAGCTGGTTTAATTACAAAAACTGCTAAGTTATCACCTCATTGCTGAGAAATATTGCTATCAAATAGCACACCTACGTTTACACGTGTGCAACAAATTCCGGTCTGTGTCAGATGTGAGCGAAAGATCGGATTTTTTGTGCCAGTGTAAACGCAGCCTAATGGAGGAACAATGTAACTAAAATCACCATCACGAACATGCACCGTTTCTCAATACTAAACACTATTACTAAATACTGTAATTTATATAGAATATTATTTATTGAATAATAATATTTAATAAACAACAACAACAGCCATCATAAAAGTTGCTAGGCAATTCAGTCAAAAGTACAAAGGCAGCGCTCTGATATACAGCATTGAATTTACATAAACATGAGATTTTGCCAAAACTATCTTCTCTGGAACAAATAATAGACTAATGAGACCAAAGAAAACTGTTAGATTTACCCATAACGAATTATATCTCATGTGTAACCACCACAGAGACATCAGAGCCAGCGGTAAATTCCAGAAGATCTGGCTGAGGTGAGGCGCTCTCTCTGTGGGTTCATGAGCGATGAATGGCCGCTGACGCTCTGGAGCTCACACGTCGAAGCAAATTTTCAAATATACGTTATCTTTATTAACAAACTGCATATTTGAACTATAAACAAGTACATTCTCGCCTGAAAACCTCTTAAAACTACATTCCGTGACACAAAAACAGTAATATTTATAAAATGATACTGGATTTGGGCGTCCGCCGTGACACTCGCTGTAAGAAGTACCGCAAGCGGAGGGATACGATTACAAACTGTAAAACGGCTGTTGGAGGTCTGATATCACTCTAATATTGCACTGTTATCAGCCAATCAGATTCGAGGACCAGAAAGAACTGTTGTATATATATATATATGTATATGTATATGTATATGTGTGTGTATACAAATATATATAATATTATTTATATGATCATATAAAAAATAGTTTTCTTGCCTCTGAAATGCATTTTAAAATATATTTTGTTATGTGAAGGTTGACACTAAATATATTTTCAATTTCAAAAGTATATTTCATTGAGCTTCACTGTTTACAACATATATTTAGCATATATTTAAAATATATTTTGGCCCAAAACAAATTGCTGTATGGCAAGTAAATGATCGTTTTTGGTGAATTATCCCTTCAAATGCACCGAAGTGCTGTTTGTTTGCAGGTATTCGTCTGTTGGATCCTGCATAAATCAGAAAACAGCTGATTTAATGCCTGCAGTGGAAATTAATTCTTCTTTTACACTGATCCTCCACCTACAGCAGATGGAGCTGCCACCCTGAAAGACAATAAATCTAACCGAGACCATGCCGAGAAATTGTTCACTCAAATATATTTCAGAGAGAATGTTTGGCTTCTATATTCACTTTTGTATAATATGTCAAATATGGTTATTCTGTCAAGCCCCTCAATTTTTCTTCAATAATTTGAAACCTTCTTAAAGAGATAGTTCACCCAAAAATGAAAATTCTGTCATTAATTACTCACACTCGTGTCGTTCCAAACCCGTAAGACCTTCGCTCATCTTCGGAACACAAATTAAGATATTTTTGATGAAATCCGAGAGCTCTCTAACCCTTCATAGACAGCAAGGATTCGAACACGATCAACGCACAGAAACGTAGCAAGGACATCGGTTAAATAGTCCGTGTGACATCAGCGGTTCAACCGTAATTTTACAAAGCTACAAGAATACTTTTTGTGCGCAAACAATAATAACATAATTTATTCAGCAGCTCTTCTCCTCGAGTTACCGTCTTCCAACATTTTGGAGAGTGTCCCAGAACGTAATCAATGTAATCAGTGCTCTTTATGTTCAGTAGACAGCGTGCGCATGCTGAACGTAAACATCACTCATTACGTTGAAACCATTAAACTGAGATAAAATTACAAAACATATTAAACATATTTTACATTTCTAGCTGCCAAAGCAACATTTTTTCATGCTCATTTAGTTTGACTTTATGTACTAAAATAACCAAAACTAAAGTAGTACTAAATTAAAATTATTATAGCAATAAATTAAAATATTAAATAATATATAATTTATTTATTAAAAATATAGATACAACATTAAAATGTAAAGATAGTATTTTTAAAATAATAAAAATATAAAAAATATCTAGACATTTAAAAAAACATTAATTAAAAACAACTAAAATTACTAAAATTAAAGAAATTAATTATATATAACATACATATATATATAATATATTCATGTCTGTCCTTTCATGAATATTTTGGAGCGATTAAATTGAATGGCATCAGAAGTGTTTTCCGGTTCACTGAGGTGCTTCTGACGGTCATCACATCATTCATTTGTGAGCAGGTCGCTCCTGTAAGACCTTGTTGTCGGGTCATTTCCTGTTTTCACTCCTGTTTTTCCTGTTTTTGTGAGTGTGAGAGTGTGAGAGTGTGTGTGTGTGTGAGAGTGTGTGTGTGTGTGCGTGTGTGTGTGTGTTTGTGTGTGAGAGAGACAGCGTGTGAATGTGAGAGTGTGTGTGTGTGTGTGTGTGCGCGCGTATGTGTGTGCGTGTGTGTGTGTGTGTGTGAGAGCGAGAGTGTGTGCGTGTGCGTGTGTGTGAGAAGCACTTTCACTGACTCTGGTTTCTATACGCTTTTTCACATTCCCGATTTAAGAGTGCAAACAAATGACTTCAATTTCATAAGACATTTCAGGTGGTGTACGGATGGGTGAATCGATCCTGAAGTATCAATATATCGATACTGATAGTATAATAATACTGAAAGTATCGATACTCAAATAAAAAATATCGATAGGATAAACTATTTTCCTACTCGTCTGAACGCACGCAAATGTTGCAAGAAAGAACCAATCGATCACGTAGAGCGTTCACTCACTTCTGACAGTGCATTCAAACAGGGCTGCGTTTCCCAAAAGTACTGTATCTTTTGGGAACGGCAGCCCAAAACAATGCTTATCAGAGGACAGAAAAAACATATGTTTGAGTTATTTCACAATAAACAAATTGAAATGGTAGCTTACATAGTTTGAGCAATTACATGTATTTAAATTTAGCGTTAAACGTTCATATTGATCATGTTCTATTCTGTAATGTTAATATAAATCATACACTGTCAGAATAAAAAGGCTGTATTTTATGCATGCAACAGCCTGTCACTGCAGTCGCTTATGAAAATAAACCATGGTTTTACTAAAGTGACCGTAGTTCAACTGTAGAATTTGTAGATTTCCATGGTTACCAGGAAACATATTTTAATTATAACCTAATAAGTTGCAGTTAAAGCATATTGAATGTTAAAATGCATTTCAAATATAAAGTTAAGTGGGTACCATTAACCATTTTACTCTTAGTAATTTAATAATTGAATAAATTTCATAATTGATAAAGTTCAGTTTAGAAGTATCGGTATCGATATCGACGATACTTGCCTTTAAAAGTATCGGTATCGTATCGAAAACAAAATAAGTGGTATCGCCCATCCCTAAGGTGGTGTAAACATGTTCTTGAATGTTAAAATGCATTTCAAATATAAAGTTAAGTGGGTACCATTAACCATTTTACTCTTAGTAATTTAATAATTGAATAAATTTCATAATTGATAAAGTTCAGTTTAGAAGTATCAGTATCGGTATCGATATCGACGATACTTGCCTTTAAAAGTATCGGTATCGTATCGAAAACAAGATAAGTGGTATCGCCCATCCCTAAGGTGGTGTAAACATGTTCTTTATAAATTCATGTTCTTGGTCTTAATTGGAGGGATTCATCAGTGTCTGTTACTCAAAAAAATTATGTTTGTTGTAATTTTCATCAGAATGTAATAACTAGATTTTTAGCTGCTGCTGTCCATGATGCAGCCGTTGACGAGTAAATACTCTTCAGATCTGACTTCATTCTGATAAGAAACACACTTAACATTGTTGTTTCCACTTGTATTAATATGTCAGGTTGAACTCTGATTCATATCGACTTTAACGATCAGCAGAACCCAGAAAACAATGGATGTTGATTGAGAGTCAGGATTTAATGAGGGCTGCTGTCAAACCAAAGCAGATCAGAATGAAGATTACTGCTAGAATAAACTACAAAAAGCACAATATTATGCTAAAATAAACATGAAATGAAGTTTGTGTCCTATTTTACTGACCTAATGTGACCAGTTCTGAGTGAACCTGGGTTTAAATTACAGTTTAACAGATATTCACATAGAAAACAGCTGTTTTACATTGTAATAATATTTCAGAATTTTTACTGTATTTTTTTATCAAATAAATGCAGCCTCGGTGAGCAAGAGAGACTTCTTTCAAAAACATTTTTAAAAAAAATTTGAACAGTTCTGTATATTCACTAAACACAGGTCTGAGAAGATTTTAAGAAGAAATGCCCAGTTAATATCTAATTTTCTCTTAAAATCAAAAGAAAATAATAGAAACATTACATTTGAAAGAAAAAAAAAACATACATTTTATTTTATAAGATTTTTGTTGTTGTTTTGTTGCATTGTGTTAGTTAATATACTAAAGAAAATCATCCTGTGTGGACACAATTATTTTAATTTTTTTTATATCAATTAAATTCACTACAAAATAATACCAGGACTTCATGTGCTTTATATGTGCTTTACAATTCTAAATAATATTTCAGTACTTTTTGCATTATTTTGTCATTTTGAATCAGAGTGGCCCTAAAACAGGCTTCATATTCTTTATGAAAACATATCTTCCACATCATATTCCAGCAGTGTCTTGTCCTCTGTGCTCAGGACTGGTCTGCTGTGGGCCGGTCTCTGGCTCAGGAGGTTTTGACTCACCTCACAGCTGTCAGTTCGCTCTCGCCGGACTGTGTGGAGACCAGGGCTCGCTCCCTCGGCATGATAGGAAGGTGCCTGAGGATTTTAGCTCAGCAGAGAGACCCGCTGTACCCCTCCGCACTGTGGACCGAGCCCGACACGGTAAAATGACCTGAGAAATCTCATGGAAAGTTTGCAAGTGAATATACAAAGTTCTAGTTATGCATTACTCTATGATGTTTTATAAGCATCAAATGCACATGTGCAAAAGTGACTCTTTTGAGTCACTTCTTTTCAATGAATCAGTTGCATCGCTGCACAGATTGATCTGAATGATTCTTAAGCAAATTGGTTTGAATCAAAACAATTGTTTAAAATTCGTTTTCATTAATCCCAAATGCATATGTGCAAAAGCAGCATTGTAATGTCCAATTTGTGCACGATTTACTCTTTGAGTCGCTTCTTTTCAGTGAGTCAGTTGAATTGCTTCACAGATCAATCTAAATGATTCTTAAGCAAATTGGGTTGAACGATAGTTTAAAGTAATCACAAATGACTAGAAATGTCAGGAAAAAGTCATGGACCATTGATGGGAACCTTCTGTTATTTGTCATAATGATATAAAAAAATAATTCTGTCTTTAAAAATGACAGCCTCACATGCAGCAGCATCATTATGTACTGTTATTAAGATAGTTTGAAAAGAAAATAAGCAGACGTTTAAGTCACAGTATAGATTTTCTTTCTCCTCCACCTGTTTAAACTCTATTGAACGTCATTAAACTCTGCATTTGGGGCTAATTTACTTCGGCTCCATTAATTCACCCTGCTGAAGAAGCTTTTCTCCAGACTGCATTGATTCACAGAGACTCAATATGAGCACTGTTCTATCAGGACCAGGAGAGAGAGCAAAACCAGGAAGATAATGAAGACCAACAAGTGAAGATGAATGAAACCGAGAAGAAACAATACGCTGGCAAACGTGCAGAGCTGCAGGTACATCAACACACACACTTTTATCATAATGAGGCCATATCATAGACTTTATACACATACACTAGTATAGATTTAATATACTGTAATTCATTATGACTGCAGTCTCAAACACTATTGCACATATTAAACATTTATTTAATTTATGAGTCATTTTCTCCTTTGAGGATCCACCAAACTCACTTGTGGAGAACATCTTGTCTGTTAATAAGGCCAAAAATCCCTCTAGCAAGTTTTTAGTTTTAAATACAACATTTTTAGAAATAGCAGTATATTCTTAAGTCTACTTATGCAAAAGTGCCTCTTTTGAGTCACTTCTTTTTAATGAATCAGTTGAATCGCTGCACAAATCGATCTGAGTGATTGATCAAAACAGTTGTTTAAAATTCATATTTAGGAAGCACAAATGCATATGTGCAAAAGTTGCATTGTAATGTCCAATTTGTGCCTGATTCGCTCTTTTGAGTCGCTTCTTTTCAATGAATCAGTTGAATTGGTGCATAAATCGATCTGAATGATTCTTACACAAATTGGTTTGGATCAAATGATTGTTCAAAATCTTTATCCAATAATCGCAAATGCATATGTGCAAAAATTAAACTATATCTACTTATGAATCACTTGATGCTTTTGGGAATCCAAAAGAGGATTCGTCAGATTTTAGCCGTTCCGTCTGTAAAGTTTAAGTTTGGCTCCAGTGAGAAGCAGTGAAAACTTTGGAAGTGCAGACCTGTAGTTTTGTGTCTGTTCTTATGTTTACTCTCGGTGTGTGTGTGTGTGTGTGTGTGTGTGTATGTGTCTGTGTGTGTGTGTGTGTGTTTTCAGAGCGAGCGGAGGGCAGCGCAGCGGCTGTTGGCTCAGGCCTGTGAAACTCTCTCTCAGGCTGTGAGTCTGAGTCTTCAGCATGACCTTCCTCATCTTCTTCCTCGCATCTGCACAGATCTGCTGGAGTGTCACGGTCAGTTCGACCCCGGCGCCAGCGGACAGTACCTCGCCCTGCTGCAGGTACTGCATCTGACTGCACTTTCACTATTCACTATTCAAGTACCATAAATGTGTATGTTTTTTTATGGTTTAATGGTTTTAATTTTATTTAACTATAATATATTTTTTTCTTCTTTTAACTTTATTTTGGTTTTTATTTTTTTATTTAAAATTTTTTTTTCATTTATGTCTTTTAGTATATTTTCTGCCGACCGGCTTAACAATAGTGGCCTATGGCCATGTGAGCCCGGGCTACCACGCCGAGCAGCTTAACAATAGTGGCCTATGGCTATGTGAGCCTTGGCTACCACGCCAACCGGCTTATCAATAGAGGCCTATGGCTATGTGAGCCTTGGCTACCACGCCAACCGGCTTATCAATAGAGGCCTATGGCTATGTGAGCCTTGGCTACCACGCCAACCGGCTTATCAATAGAGGCCTATGGCTATGTGAGCCTTGGCTACCACGCCAACCGGCTTATCAATAGAGGCCTATGGCTATGTGAGCCTTGGCTACCACGCCAACCGGCTTATCAATAGAGGCCTATGGCTATGTGAGCCTTGGCTACCACGCCAACCGGCTTATCAATAGAGGCCTATGGCTATGTGAGCCTTGGCTACCACGCCAACCGGCTTATCAATAGAGGCCTATGGCTATGTGAGCCTTGGCTACCACGCCAACCGGCTTATCAATAGAGGCCTATGGCTATGTGAGCCTTGGCTACCACGCCAACCGGCTTATCAATAGAGGCCTATGGCTATGTGAGCCTTGGCTACCACGCCAACCGGCTTATCAATAGAGGCCTATGGCTATGTGAGCCTTGGCTACCACGCCAACCGGCTTATCAATAGAGGCCTATGGCTATGTGAGCCTTGGCTACCACGCCAACCGGCTTATCAATAGAGGCCTATGGCTATGTGAGCCTTGGCTACCACGCCAACCGGCTTATCAATAGAGGCCTATGGCTATGTGAGCCTTGGCTACCACGCCAACCGGCTTATCAATAGAGGCCTATGGCTATGTGAGCCTTGGCTACCACGCCAACCGGCTTATCAATAGAGGCCTATGGCTATGTGAGCCTTGGCTACCACGCCAACCGGCTTATCAATAGAGGCCTATGGCTATGTGAGCCTTGGCTACCACGCCAACCGGCTTATCAATAGAGGCCTATGGCTATGTGAGCCTTGGCTACCACGCCAACCGGCTTATCAATAGAGGCCTATGGCTATGTGAGCCTTGGCTACCACGCCAACCGGCTTATCAATAGAGGCCTATGGCTATGTGAGCCTTGGCTACCACGCCAACCGGCTTATCAATAGAGGCCTATGGCTATGTGAGCCTTGGCTACCACGCCAACCGGCTTATCAATAGAGGCCTATGGCTATGTGAGCCTTGGCTACCACGCCAACCGGCTTATCAATAGAGGCCTATGGCTATGTGAGCCTTGGCTACCACGCCAACCGGCTTATCAATAGAGGCCTATGGCTATGTGAGCCTTGGCTACCACGCCAACCGGCTTATCAATAGAGGCCTATGGCTATGTGAGCCTTGGCTACCACGCCAACCGGCTTATCAATAGAGGCCTATGGCTATGTGAGCCTTGGCTACCACGCCAACCGGCTTATCAATAGAGGCCTATGGCTATGTGAGCCTTGGCTACCACGCCAACCGGCTTATCAATAGAGGCCTATGGCTATGTGAGCCTTGGCTACCACGCCAACCGGCTTATCAATAGAGGCCTATGGCTATGTGAGCCTTGGCTACCACGCCAACCGGCTTATCAATAGAGGCCTATGGCTATGTGAGCCTTGGCTACCACGCCAACCGGCTTATCAATAGAGGCCTATGGCTATGTGAGCCTTGGCTACCACGCCAACCGGCTTATCAATAGAGGCCTATGGCTATGTGAGCCTTGGCTACCACGCCAACCGGCTTATCAATAGAGGCCTATGGCTATGTGAGCCTTGGCTACCACGCCAACCGGCTTATCAATAGAGGCCTATGGCTATGTGAGCCTTGGCTACCACGCCAACCGGCTTATCAATAGAGGCCTATGGCTATGTGAGCCTTGGCTACCACGCCAACCGGCTTATCAATAGAGGCCTATGGCTATGTGAGCCTTGGCTACCACGCCAACCGGCTTATCAATAGAGGCCTATGGCTATGTGAGCCTTGGCTACCACGCCAACCGGCTTATCAATAGAGGCCTATGGCTATGTGAGCCTTGGCTACCACGCCAACCGGCTTATCAATAGAGGCCTATGGCTATGTGAGCCTTGGCTACCACGCCAACCGGCTTATCAATAGAGGCCTATGGCTATGTGAGCCTTGGCTACCACGCCAACCGGCTTATCAATAGAGGCCTATGGCTATGTGAGCCTTGGCTACCACGCCAACCGGCTTATCAATAGAGGCCTATGGCTATGTGAGCCTTGGCTACCACGCCGACATGCTTAACAATAGTGGCCTATGACTATGTGAGCCCGGGCTACCACGCCGACCGGCTTAACAATAGAAGCCTATGGCTATGTGAGCCCGGACTACCACGCTGACCGGCTTAACAATAGTGGCCTATGGCTATGTGAGCCTTGGCTACCACGCCAACCGGCTTAACAATAGAGGCCTATGGCTATGTGAGCCCGGGCTACCACGCCGACCGGCTTAACAATAGAGGCCTATGGCTATGTGAGCCCGGGCTACCACGCCGACCGGCTTAACAATAGAGGCCTATGGCTATGTGAGCCCGGGCTACCACGCCGACCGGCTTAACAATAGAGGCCTATGGCTATGTGAGCCCGGGCTACCACGCCGACCGGCTTAACAATAGAGGCCTATGGCTATGTGAGCCCGGGCTACCACGCCGACCGGCTTAACAATAGAGGCCTATGGCTATGTGAGCCCGGGCTACCACGCCGACCGGCTTAACAATAGAGGCCTATGGCTATGTGAGCCCGGGCTACCACGCCGACCGGCTTAACAATAGAGGCCTATGGCTATGTGAGCCCGGGCTACCACGCCGACCGGCTTAACAATAGAGGCCTATGGCTATGTGAGCCCGGGCTACCACGCCGACCGGCTTAACAATAGAGGCCTATGGCTATGTGAGCCCGGGCTACCACGCCGACCGGCTTAACAATAGAGGCCTATGGCTATGTGAGCCCGGGCTACCACGCCGACCGGCTTAACAATAGAGGCCTATGGCTATGTGAGCCCGGGCTACCACGCCGACCGGCTTAACAATAGAGGCCTATGGCTATGTGAGCCCGGGCTACCACGCCGACCGGCTTAACAATAGAGGCCTATGGCTATGTGAGCCCGGGCTACCACGCCGACCGGCTTAACAATAGAGGCCTATGGCTATGTGAGCCCGGGCTACCACGCCGACCGGCTTAACAATAGAGGCCTATGGCTATGTGAGCCCGGGCTACCACGCCGACCGGCTTAACAATAGAGGCCTATGGCTATGTGAGCCCGGGCTACCACGCCGACCGGCTTAACAATAGAGGCCTATGGCTATGTGAGCCCGGGCTACCACGCCGACCGGCTTAACAATAGAGGCCTATGGCTATGTGAGCCCGGGCTACCACGCCGACCGGCTTAACAATAGAGGCCTATGGCTATGTGAGCCCGGGCTACCACGCCGACCGGCTTAACAATAGAGGCCTATGGCTATGTGAGCCCGGGCTACCACGCCGACCGGCTTAACAATAGAGGCCTATGGCTATGTGAGCCCGGGCTACCACGCCGACCGGCTTAACAATAGAGGCCTATGGCTATGTGAGCCCGGGCTACCACGCCGACCGGCTTAACAATAGAGGCCTATGGCTATGTGAGCCCGGGCTACCACGCCGACCGGCTTAACAATAGAGGCCTATGGCTATGTGAGCCCGGGCTACCACGCCGACCGGCTTAACAATAGAGGCCTATGGCTATGTGAGCCCGGGCTACCACGCCGACCGGCTTAACAATAGAGGCCTATGGCTATGTGAGCCCGGGCTACCACGCCGACCGGCTTAACAATAGAGGCCTATGGCTATGTGAGCCCGGGCTACCACGCCGACCGGCTTAACAATAGAGGCCTATGGCTATGTGAGCCCGGGCTACCACGCCGACCGGCTTAACAATAGAGGCCTATGGCTATGTGAGCCCGGGCTACCACGCCGACCGGCTTAACAATAGAGGCCTATGGCTATGTGAGCCCGGGCTACCACGCCGACCGGCTTAACAATAGAGGCCTATGGCTATGTGAGCCCGGGCTACCACGCCGACCGGCTTAACAATAGAGGCCTATGGCTATGTGAGCCCGGGCTACCACGCCGACCGGCTTAACAATAGAGGCCTATGGCTATGTGAGCCCGGGCTACCACGCCGACCGGCTTAACAATAGAGGCCTATGGCTATGTGAGCCCGGGCTACCACGCCGACCGGCTTAACAATAGAGGCCTATGGCTATGTGAGCCCGGGCTACCACGCCGACCGGCTTAACAATAGAGGCCTATGGCTATGTGAGCCCGGGCTACCACGCCGACCGGCTTAACAATAGAGGCCTATGGCTATGTGAGCCCGGGCTACCACGCCGACCGGCTTAACAATAGAGGCCTATGGCTATGTGAGCCCGGGCTACCACGCCGACCGGCTTAACAATAGAGGCCTATGGCTATGTGAGCCCGGGCTACCACGCCGACCGGCTTAACAATAGAGGCCTATGGCTATGTGAGCCCGGGCTACCACGCCGACCGGCTTAACAATAGAGGCCTATGGCTATGTGAGCCCGGGCTACCACGCCGACCGGCTTAACAATAGAGGCCTATGGCTATGTGAGCCCGGGCTACCACGCCGACCGGCTTAACAATAGAGGCCTATGGCTATGTGAGCCCGGGCTACCACGCCGACCGGCTTAACAATAGAGGCCTATGGCTATGTGAGCCCGGGCTACCACGCCGACCGGCTTAACAATAGAGGCCTATGGCTATGTGAGCCCGGGCTACCACGCCGACCGGCTTAACAATAGAGGCCTATGGCTATGTGAGCCCGGGCTACCACGCCGACCGGCTTAACAATAGAGGCCTATGGCTATGTGAGCCCGGGCTACCACGCCGACCGGCTTAACAATAGAGGCCTATGGCTATGTGAGCCCGGGCTACCACGCCGACCGGCTTAACAATAGAGGCCTATGGCTATGTGAGCCCGGGCTACCACGCCGACCGGCTTAACAATAGAGGCCTATGGCTATGTGAGCCCGGGCTACCACGCCGACCGGCTTAACAATAGAGGCCTATGGCTATGTGAGCCCGGGCTACCACGCCGACCGGCTTAACAATAGAGGCCTATGGCTATGTGAGCCCGGGCTACCACGCCGACCGGCTTAACAATAGAGGCCTATGGCTATGTGAGCCCGGGCTACCACGCCGACCGGCTTAACAATAGAGGCCTATGGCTATGTGAGCCCGGGCTACCACGCCGACCGGCTTAACAATAGAGGCCTATGGCTATGTGAGCCCGGGCTACCACGCCGACCGGCTTAACAATAGAGGCCTATGGCTATGTGAGCCCGGGCTACCACGCCGACCGGCTTAACAATAGAGGCCTATGGCTATGTGAGCCCGGGCTACCACGCCGACCGGCTTAACAATAGAGGCCTATGGCTATGTGAGCCCGGGCTACCACGCCGACCGGCTTAACAATAGAGGCCTATGGCTATGTGAGCCCGGGCTACCACGCCGACCGGCTTAACAATAGAGGCCTATGGCTATGTGAGCCCGGGCTACCACGCCGACCGGCTTAACAATAGAGGCCTATGGCTATGTGAGCCCGGGCTACCACGCCGACCGGCTTAACAATAGAGGCCTATGGCTATGTGAGCCCGGGCTACCACGCCGACCGGCTTAACAATAGAGGCCTATGGCTATGTGAGCCCGGGCTACCACGCCGACCGGCTTAACAATAGAGGCCTATGGCTATGTGAGCCCGGGCTACCACGCCGACCGGCTTAACAATAGAGGCCTATGGCTATGTGAGCCCGGGCTACCACGCCGACCGGCTTAACAATAGAGGCCTATGGCTATGTGAGCCCGGGCTACCACGCCGACCGGCTTAACAATAGAGGCCTATGGCTATGTGAGCCCGGGCTACCACGCCGACCGGCTTAACAATAGAGGCCTATGGCTATGTGAGCCCGGGCTACCACGCCGACCGGCTTAACAATAGAGGCCTATGGCTATGTGAGCCCGGGCTACCACGCCGACCGGCTTAACAATAGAGGCCTATGGCTATGTGAGCCCGGGCTACCACGCCGACCGGCTTAACAATAGAGGCCTATGGCTATGTGAGCCCGGGCTACCACGCCGACCGGCTTAACAATAGAGGCCTATGGCTATGTGAGCCCGGGCTACCACGCCGACCGGCTTAACAATAGAGGCCTATGGCTATGTGAGCCCGGGCTACCACGCCGACCGGCTTAACAATAGAGGCCTATGGCTATGTGAGCCCGGGCTACCACGCCGACCGGCTTAACAATAGAGGCCTATGGCTATGTGAGCCCGGGCTACCACGCCGAGCAGCTTAACAATAGTGGCCTATGGCTATGTGAGCCTGGGCTACCACGCCGACAGGCTTAATAATAGTGGCCCTATGGCCATGTGAGCCCGGGCTACCACGCCGGCCGGCTTAACACTAGTGGCTTATGACTATGTGCGCCTGGGCTACCACGCCGACCGGTTTAACTCTAATTAGACGCGCACTATGTGTAATGTTCACAGTGTTAACAAGAATATGCATTGCAATCTGATAGATAAGACCCCCGCACCCACCTGAGCAAATATCATATGTTATTCATTTGATACCTGTCATTAATATAACAATATTGTCTAATTGTATAGAGCCATTAGGAGCTATAAAAGTGCATGCTTCTGATGCTGCATGCAGCTGAAATCGACCACACACTCAGTACAGCTAATAAAACATCAGCCCTAGATTTAAACTAACGTGACATTGAGATTACGCCACTGAATATAGCGAACCCCGGTTGGAATGCATACTCAAGAATGCTTATTATATTTAACCTGTTTTCATGTATGTTACCCTCTGTGTGTCCTCAGAGCGATTACATGCTCTAGACTGCGTTTGCTCCAGCTGTATAAACACAGATGCTAAATGCTGCTGCTAATATGCTTAAAGGGGTCATATGATGTTGCTAAAAATAATAAGAGAAAGGAACAATTGAAATCACATCATATGACCCCTTTAATATTTCGCTCCTGCATACGATGCAAACTGCTAACATGACACTTATTTTAGCCTTGTTTATGGTTGCTCATTTTTTATTTAAATTTGGCAAACCACGCAATATACACAGCGATATGGATCTTAGATGTTGATTTCAGTTGTTTCTAAAATGCACTACTACTGCTACAGCAAACACTTAGCCAAGTATTTGAATGTTGAGCAGCGAGCTCATTGGCTACCGATACAGGAGAGAACCAATCGGCTGTGACGTGATGATGATGTCATATTGAGTTACACCTATCGGACTGCGCGTTCTAGAGTTTCATGGCAGAACTTTGTATCTTGTATATATTTTATATCAGTTAATGTTTATTTTATTGCAAGAATGATTGATTTTATTAATTTTATTCATTCATTCATTCATTTTTGTGGTTTTAGTTTAGTTTTAGTAATTGTAAATACCCTTCAGCCGAATTGTATTTTTAAAGGAATAATTCACCCAGAAATGTACTTTCATCATTTACTCACCCTTATGTTGTTCCAAAACTCATATGGCTTTCTTTATTCTTTCAAAACACAAAAAAATATGTAATATAAATAAAAATCCATATAATGACTAATCTCCAAAAAACAAACAAACAAAAACACTTTCTGTTCCACTGCAACAAAAGTGTCATAACAGCTTTTTGCATTATATGAGGAACAAACTCAAAGTCATTATGGACTGATAATATTCCCCTTCTTTCAAATCTAATCCTGCATATTCAAGGTCAGATAAAAGACACGCAAGAACCAGTGACTTTTTGTATTAAACCTGCCACAACATCTTGACATCTTGGCTTAAATAAGTGAAAATCTCAGTGAGATTTCAGAGCTGCGATCTGAGAGTGAGTAAATTATGACAGAAGTGTCATTTATCGGTGAACTGTCCCTTTAAACGTAAATGCTCTTGTTCTTTGTGTGACCTGCATGTACATACAGTATATGTGACCCGTGCTGGCAAAATGAGACGGAATGAGCAAACTTTCGAAAATGACTTCACATTCTCCATTAAAATACCTTCAAAATTATATATGGAATCTAACAAAAAATGACTGAGCTACAACCGTTTGAAGACGATAGAGTCAGCAGCTGATTTTGAGTAAAATTGAGAAAGTTTTTTGTAGATTCCAAAGCAAAACCACCAAGCAACGTTGCATATTTTCTTTCAATTAATTTCTTAATAATAATTACCAAATTATTAATCACAATAGAGCTATTTTTTAGCGAGTGATTCTGTCTTTTCTTTTAATGTTTGATTATCATTGAGACAGATCTAAATTAAGACCTAATGTAAAACATGGATCTAATATGATGTTACACATCAGATTTTCCCCAACCATTAACTAAACGCTCATGTAAGACATAACAGATTATGTTTGTGTGAATCTCGCCAAGACATATTTCACAATAATGTACTTTATAATGAGATCGCGCGCTCGCGGAGAGATGCATCTTATGCACGCGCTTTGCAAATATTAGTCAGTGTGATCGTTTTGTTTTCCTCAGCATGGGTTTGAAAATCATATTCCACTGTTTTGGACTCATGTCATCGAGAATTCGATATGAATATTCACAAAGCTTGAATGCTGCGCTTTGCAACAATAGACCTACAACTTGAGAAGCAGCAGCAGTCGTCCAGAAAACTCCCACACTCCTCTCAGAAAACGTACAACTAAAGATGTCATTGTAGATGTTTAAGTAGTATTTGGAGCAGTGTGATTGCTGACTTGTGTACTTACATTATCCCAAATGTTTCGAAGAATGTTTAAATCCAGCGAAATAAGCAATTTTAACTAGTGACACGGAGCGTGTCCATAGTGTCATTGTGTCGCCTGCTAATGACGTCATAACCCCTCGATTTCCGTATGATAAAACAGCGCTGCTTTACCCCACATACGCACGACCGGAAGCAGCGGAAGCGCTCGACTGTGGCATAATAAAAGCTCCGCTTCTTTCCAGCCGTGTGTCGCGCTCGTTCAGCGCCTTGTTTCGCTTCGACGGCTTTCAGCCTCACCCTGCTTCATTCTACTACGTTAATAAATCATTAGCTCATCCATGAACATGATTTCTGCCCGAGTCCCGTCGGATTGCATCGGCTGTGGGGATGAAGACCACAACTCCCATGATTCCACACTCAGTCACGGCATCATCTAACTACGCCTTTGTCTCTTTGTTTGTTTTGAATACGCGCCCTCTAGTGGTGAAAATTACATATTGTGCTTTTAATGAACTAATTTTTGTGAAAACCTCAAATTCGACCAAAACTGACATTTTCACTTCTTTTGCCTGTAGTTATATGTATGTGTCCCTGCAGCACAAAACCATTTTATGCCAAAAATCATTAGGATATTAGGTAAAGATCATGTTCCATGAAGATATTTTGTAAATGTCCTATCGTAAATACATCAAAACTTCATTTGGACAACTTTAAAGGTGATTTTCTCAATATTTAGATTTTTTTGCACCCTCAGATTCCAGATTTTCAAATAGTTGTATCTCAGCCAAATATTGTCCTATCCTAACAAACCATACATCAATGGAAAGCTTATTTATGTGATGTATAAATGATGTATAAATCTCAATTTCAAAAAATTGACCCTTATGTCTGGTTTTGTGGTCCAGTGTCACATGTGTGTGATGTTCATATGTTTGTGAGAATGTAGAGTTCTGGTGACTGTGTTTGAGCGGATGATTATTACTCACTAGACTGGTGTGATCTGATCTCAGAGCGGCGTGTGCTGTGCTGAGATGTCGTCTGTCCTGCACTCGATCTGCTCCAGTGTCGGTGAGTCTCAGACCTGTGCTCTGCTGAACCTGCGGAGGAAGCTGCTCTCTTCACAGGGTCACAGACCCAGCGGCGCTCTGACAGCAGTGAACCAAGAGCTCAGCGCTCTCTCCAAGGTACTGCGCTGACAGCCTGTTAATGACATACACCTCCTCAGAGCGTTCAGACACTGCACTTTCCATTCAAATGTGTGAGAACAGGTCCGTGAGCATGTTATGCACCTCGTTTTGTGCATATGAATGTGCATGTGCATGTGATTTTTGCCTTTTGCTGGGTACTAAAGTTGAAGTTTGTGGTTTCCAGGATTCTACCATAAAAAATAGAGTGGAAACATTTTAAGTTTACAGATTGAACTTAAACTTGCAGAATATAATATAATATAGCATGCAAGCTAGCTAGATTATTTATATAGCACATTTCATACACAATTCAAAGTGCTTTACAAAAACAATTTAAAATAATCCAAAAATAAAAGTAACAAATGCAAAGAATAAAAAAGATTAAAATTTGATTTAAAATGTATTAAAACAGTTAAGAATAAAAAGAAAATATAATATAATATAGTGTTTATGTAAGTTGAGATAAATACTAATATATAAAAGATGCATGATTTCATACAAATACAAAAAAATGAAACACCATCATGATAACACACACGGCATGCAATAAACATTAATTTAATATAATATAACATCACATATTACATAAGATTCTGATGTACATAACTGATAAGAAAAACTATTTCAACGAAAAACCATCCAATGTGAACTGACAGATCTGGAAATGTAAATTAATGTTTTTCACTGTAAATTATAAGATGACTAGTTCTTTTTCACTTCCAAAAACTGTAAAATTACATGAAATGTCACCATAGATCTATTAGTTTTTAACATTTACATTTATGCATTTAGTAGACGCTTTTATCCAAAGCAACTTAAGTCAATTACAAAAAGATTTTCACCATATAGAGTAATGGAACTTGCCTTTAACCTTGCCTTTAACCTAACTTTTTTAACTTCTTTGACTGTTAAAATTACTGTGTTTTCATAAAGCAAAAACATGAGTGAGCTAAACATCACAGAATGACTCAGAATTAAACATGGAAGCAACTCTCAGTTTAGTGGTTTTGCATTAATAAAAGTTGAAGATGGTGTGTTTTCATTTATTATTATTTATACAAAACTGAATAATTCCTCATGCTTAAAGGTCTAGTCGTGTGTGTAGTATTCTTACGTTTGGCTATAAACCAATCACATGTCAGAGAAAACATATTCTTTGTTCCTATTGGATATAGTGCTTGTCAGTACAGTTTATGCAAATTAGCCAAAGAAGGTTGGGTTGTGTTCTTGCTGCTGAGGAGTTGGCACTCATGTTATGTACATAGCTGATAAGAGTTTAATACATTCTTCATGTTAATCTAGAACCTCCTTATACACTTCATGAGCACAACAGTGTGTCGCTCGTTTATAGTCCTTCAGACTGCACATATTCATTTACATTTATTCTTTTAGCTTTTATCCAAAGTGACTTACAAGTGAAGAAACGCAGTCACAAGTGATTCTTCCTGAGAAACGTTCAGAGGAGAACAGAGATGAAGTGAGAAGGAGAGTGGTTTGCGTTTAGACAGAATGGTTTTGTGAGGGTTCTGCTTTATCGAGAGCAGCGTCTCTAGACAGAGCAGATCCACGCCTCATGTGTTTGATCACACTTTCAGGCCTTCACTCACCTGACCATAAACCCAAACCACCTGAGAATTCTGGGAGAAATGCCACCCGACTTCAAGATCCTGCTGCTCCAACACTCGGAGGACAGGTGGGATGGACTCAACTCTATTATAGAAATATACATTCATGCATTCGGCACATGCTTTTATCCAAAGTGACTTACGCTGCATTCAAGTTCATGCATTCCCTGGGAATCGAACCCATGACCTTGCTGTTGCTAGCGCCATGCTCGACATTCTATTCTATTCTGCTTTAAGCTATTAAATTCAAGTTTATTTGTATAGCGCTTTTCACAATGACCATAAACCCAAACCACCTGAGAATTCTGGGAGAAATGCCACCCGACTTCAAGATCCTGCTGCTCCAACACTCGGAGGACAGGTGGGATGGACTCAACTCTATTATAGAAATATACATTCATGCATTCGGCACATGCTTTTATCCAAAGTGACTTACGCTGCATTCAAGTTCATGCATTCCCTGGGAATCGAACCCATGACCTTGCTGTTGCTAGCGCCATGCTCTACATTCTATTCTATTCTATTCTGCTTTAAGCTGTTCAATTCAAGTTTATTCGTATAGTGCTTTTCACGATACAAGTCGTTGCAAAGCAGCTTTACAGAAAATTAAGTTATTCTCATCTGCTCTGTTCTGTTGTATTTTATTTGCTCTGTTCTACTCTGCTTTATTTACTCTTTTCATTCCTTTTATTCTATTCTATTCTGTTCTATTCTATTTTTCTGTTCTACTTTATTCTCATCTTCTCTGTTCTGTTGTATTTGCTCTGTTCTACTCTGCTCTGTTCTGTTTTTCTCTTTTTATTCTATTCTATTCTGTTCTAATCAGT